TCACAATGAGGCACCCCTCCCCCCTGATAATCACAATGAGGCACCCTCCCCCCTGATAATCACAATGAGGCACCCCTCCCCCCTGATAATCACAATGAGGCACCCCTCCCCCCTGATAATCAGCAGTTTTGTGCGTGTGCTCACTATTCGATTATACCACAGAAATGCCTGTAAAACGTTATGATCTAAAACATTGTAAGCAGTAGTTCCATTCCTTTCTTGTCTATAGGTCAATCTTGTTGGAGCTGCTCGTCAGAAAGACTGGGCAGTAAATGACATCATCAATAACGTTAAACCCAGCCCATATGTTGAAGAGTTCCTTTTGAGGCCCGATAAAACCCGACAAGAGATCGAAGACTTCTTAAAGAATCAACAAAGTAACCTCCCTGATGTCGTAACAGACTATTTAAGAAATAAAATGAATGAATTACGCGATGAAGAAAAGCTGGAAGTTCGTCACGATGAATTCTGAAGACAGATTACGCTTTCAACCTCTGTATTTCCATATAATGTTATTATTTATTGAATTTACTTTCATCAGTGTTACTCCATGTAACAATCCATACTTTAAGTCACTCATTCGTGAAATATCTCACCGTCCATCTATTCACTCATTTACTCTCATCTATCCAATTATTCTTGTCCGATCATCCTACACACAACTACCACCTAACAACCGCTACCTATCACAATAACTAATGTCATTAGTAAAATAAACTTTAAAAATGAAATGTCCRGTCTTTGTGTAAAAGTTTGGAATTGATCTGAAGAAAAGTGTTTTGGGCAAGCGAAACTGCRGTGTTAAAACTTATGTTTTGCCAGGTTATAGGATGCAATTCTYGGATCATCTCAATTTCCCAAGTAAGGTACCTGCAGTGGTGTATGTAATTCATCGCACTAACTGCAGTGAAGCTAATTRCAAACACTCTGTAAGATATATTTTACTTGACAGATAATATGATAGGTTTAATGCTGTTTGACAGCTTTAAACAGCTTTTGAATCGACAACCATACGGTCTGTTACTTGTTCTAACGCGTGAGGTCGCTTGACAAGATATTGAACGACTGCTGGCACAAATCGCAGCAGGCATTTGTTTAATGACAACTGAAAACAAATATCTGTACTTTAGCTAACAGAGCACGTCAAATAGGGAAAGTTGTCAAATGCTGTATCACGTGATCAGTAAACAGTCCGTTTAAATATTGAGCAAGAGCAAAATGCACCGACTCAATGAAAATGAAAAAAAGAACAAAACAAAACAAAAAAACAAACAAATGAAAACGAAAAGAGAAAGTTTCATTTATTGCGTTTGTATTTGCGTTGCTCTCGCTTAAACAGCTTTACAAAACATTTCAATGAGGATGTATCAATGCTTCCTCCTTGTTTTTTACGCACAGTGATCGACAGGGTTTACAGGAATATTTGGTAACAACGGGTTACGGCGTRTTCAGTTAAAAAGCCTCCAGCTTTCAGTCTCTATAACTCATTATTTTGTCTAAATCTTTTACACTTGACGTTATCACTGCAGTCAATTATTGTAAAATGAATTCCATTCCCTGCAGGTGTACTATGCCAAGATAATTGATCTGCTCGTAAAAGAAGTCGTTTGTACGCAGAGTTATCAAAATAGATGTCCRGTCGTTTAGCTCCTTTGACAATTGTACAACCTAGAAAGGKAAAACGAGTATGATAAACAAGCCGTATGGTATATGGGTAGAGYGGTTGCGTCATTCCTTGTCCCTTAAGGAGTACAATACTTATCATTGACAAGAAACATGTGAGGAGAGGGCTCGTCCATTTTTTGCCCTTACAATATTTAGGTCATGGTGTTATCTTTTGTCCCTACGGCGAAAAACTCATTATTTCGCAAGGTTCATCATCTTTTGAYAAGAGTGTTATTCATTTGCGAAAAGGGCAGTAAGAAGAGGAAACTTTATTTCTTTTCTAACGTCGCATAACTAATAACASAAMAGTGAAATTCGAGCCGTGTTTGTTTTCTTCAGTATCAACRAGTTTGATTTTCAGATTTAACTGAAAACGTAATTTTCATCGAATGAGAAATGATCAACACGGGAAGAACCACTTGAGATATAATTGCTTCCCCTTCCTAGTGAGATAGCTGAAGATTAATCTTGTGTTTGATAACCAACACAATTAAATGAAAACTAATTTGGAACTAGGATWTCCGGGAGCGATATTTGCGTAGACTTTATATAACCGAACACACTTGTGTCGATGAGATGCGAATGCAACGTAAAAGGCGATCAGACAAGTAAAACATAAACAAAAAATGAAATTGTTTTTTATAAAAAAAAGAATGTTTGTTTTCAATTCATCGAACCCTCCTTTCCCTGCTCCATATCAAATCCCCCCCCCCCGACCCGCTTTTAATTACTTTATTGTTGTATGGGAGTGTGTTAAAAATACTAAACTTATGAATTCAAAAGAAAGGCGACTCAATAAAACAAGTTCAACAAAAAGAAATTAACGGATTTCAAGCACAGTTCGATACTTTAGTATAATAGAGAGAGTGTCCATTATAAACTCCTAAAATAGAATTTAGACTGTTAGGCCTTAGAATTTGTTTTGTCCCGACTCCTTACGATATAGTTTGATCGTATTTCATGGGTTTACTGTGCTCATTCTAAAGGTTTCATGGTTATACCGTATGCACTATGGTATGGTAAAACAATGATTGTAAATAACAACCCGGACAACGAMCGAAARCAGCAACGAAAACAACATCATCAACAACGAAAGCAACAAGAAGAGAAGCAAGAAAACACCATCTATAGTCATATTAACAAATGGTAGTCTGGAAACAGTTCTGGTTTATTTAGTTACGATATCAATAATTCATTATGATAGAGAGAAGACTGCTGTACATGGGTAAAAATCCATTTCTCTGCCAGGTGCAAAACAAAGATCTTTTACAACCATAACTATTAAACGATCCAAAGGTCAACAACTGATTGAATATAATACAATATCTGAGATATTTACCAACCCACTCCTATAGCAGCCATTATGTCTTAATTATTGCAAAAGTTGTTAACTATATTCACAGCAAGACAATTATTTACATCCTGAGGCAAAAAAAAACAAAACAAAATTGAAGGGCTGCTTTTGACTTCGGATAATCTTCAACGACGGTTATCAAAATGAAGTAAAATGGACACTCTTTTATTCATCCTGATCGATTCGCCCATCCCTTAAGTYATCAGTGCGCCCGACATTTAATCRTTCATAGCTGCAGWCTGTTCATTTACYTCTCTGATCAAAAAGTCTTTATTYATTTATGAAAGTATATGCTTAACGTAAATAGTAATAAACACGCCGCTTTGCGATTCAAACGAGTAATTCTATATATCTACCAATGATAACATATTGCTTTCTGAGCAGCTGCTCAGCACGCGGTTAGCGGAAAAAGCCTTCTTTAACTTAGGATTATAGATAAACGATTTATTTCATCAAGGTGCCATGAATATGTCGGTTTTATAAGACACTTTTCATATTAGGGATTACTGTAAAGAAACTGTTCAAGAATGGTATATAGTTATGTTAATGGAATTCATTTATGCTTCTGGGGACCAGATAAGAWAGAGTAATACCGATAAAAACCCTCTGAAAGTAATTTCTTTTTAAGATTTTTTACAAAGTAGAAACACTAATTAGTACTGCAGCCTTCCCTATGCAAGATAGACAATAAAGATATTACTATTTGCAATTTCATAAATACATCGAACCTAAATAAAACACGTTTCTTCAAACAGAACCGGTGTTACATATGGACGATGAACTCATTTTACAGATTGTTTTCAAAAGATGTGAACGGAGGGGAAAGGCCTTTCGAGCCAAGGCCGGGTCGTGACAGGTGATCATTTCGACGAGTATGAATTTCGAGTTATCAAATACTTTGTTGGTTATTCGCCCAGCGACACTACTTCATTGGATCACTTTGACATTTRAAAAAGTAATATTTCTAAAGTAWGTGGTTCCACATTAATTCACAGACATGAAGCTATCTTAGCTTGTCTAGATCAACAAGTACTGCAGTAGAGTTTGGACAGATCGTGGCGGAATAGTTATTAAGAACGCSTTTTGGTAACCAGTGATTGTTATGTAATTCACCCATTGCTTTTAAACCCATGAAATGTGTGTCAAGCAAAAACATCTTAACTTCGTTATAAGTATCTGTTTCACTAGTATTCATTGTATCAGATATGGAAATAAAGGAAAGTTATAGTGCTAGCAAGAAGGTTTTTTTCGKGAGAAAGACCCTTAAATTCATTTCTTTGTATCAATACATATTGCACATAGTATATTTCGCGGTATCCTTACTCAATTATCTTATGACATAACTAAAACAATCAATTATTTTCCTACATAAACATAGTTTCCTGGCAATTATTCTAGAAAACCAAAATTGAAATCGTCTAGATCTCTRTACTCAGCACCAAAATCCAATTTTATGAGTATCCCACAGATAAAAAGATCATAAAAACTCCCATTTACAATACCCCTATGATCATTGAAAGACCGTAAAAACCCMMTGGTAACCAGAAGGGAATATTGAATTATAGGGTAGCAGCATATTGACATGACACTTGAAAACGAGGCGACTGCTGTGAGGTCACGTGATAAGATCGTATATAAAGCGATTGAAATCTTACACAAATAATCAAACGATACCGCCCTTGAGATTAAAACCTTTGCCTTTACAACGAATCTCAAGTTACTGCGCAATCTAAATACAATTGGATATCAAGAAATACAAGTAGGGTTTACAGACCCTCGATCTCGGGTTAGAGGACCGGGCAGTAGTCTTAAACGATAAACAGAAAAAACTCCTTTAGATACAAGATAATTCAAGAGCGTTATCTAACTGAACGATAGAAAGAAGTTACAAAGGAAAGACGACCTCAAAAGCTTTGTCCGTGAAATATGAATTCGTCATTTAATGAATCCGACACGAGAAGAAACATTACAGAAGCCATGTGTTTCCACTCTGATCCGATGTCTACGAAGATCGTYCGTGCAGCGGTGTACTGCGTCATTATCATAGCATCATTATTCGGGAATTCTGTAGTTATTTTTGTAGTGTTACGAAACAGATCCATGAGACGTACAGTGAACTATTTCATCGTGAATATGAGTATAGCCGACTTACTCGTTACTATAACATACATGCCTCGCGTGGTTTCCCTGTGGTTTGCCGGGTATGTCTGGCAGGTCGATGGTCTTACTGGACTAGTGTTCTGTAAGATTGCTTGCTTTAACGAGGTAGCTATTYTAGTAGCTATATTCACTATTATTGCTATAAGCATCGATAGGTTCTTAGCTGTTGTATTCCCACTTCGTCGAGGTCTTATCACGATTCCAATCTGTCAGACAATGATTGGTTTTATGTGGCTCGCAGCGATAGCAGCAGCGTTTTCAGAGTTTTACGCCATTGAGCTCCGTACGTTTAATGGCGATATTTACTGCTATCTTGACCTGGACTATTTCTTTGGTGAAGGTTCGTCTAAAGCCTACTTTAACTTTATCATTATCGGATTCTTTGCAATCCCCTTTACAGCCATTATAATCCTGTACTCGGGTATTATCGCAGTGCTGTTAAAACGCCGTAGAATCCCCGGGGATGCTTCTGCCGTGGACGACGCACAAAAAAGACGACGCGAAGAAACGAAAAAGAAAGTTCTGAAGATGGTTATGGCTGTAGTGGGAACGTTTGTTATCTGTTGGTTATTGTATTTCATTCATTTTATTTTATATTCCTATGGTATCACGCTACCGTGTGATGTGATGTTCGTAAGACTTCTGTTGGCTCATTTTCATTGCGCATTCAGTCCGTTCATCTATGGTTTTTACAATGGTAATTACAGAAGAGGAGTCTTGTCGTTTATTCCATCAACAAGAGCGACGCAGGTCATGACTACTCATGTTAGAAGCAATGTTCATCGTGTGCGTCCCACGTTTCCCGAAAACCCTGCAGTAAACGAAGGATTTGACTGAAGTAATAACCACGTGTAGAAAATTCTAGAATGACTGATCGAGAAAAGTAGACGCTACGGGTAGTTTGAAAATGTCCAATAATCCAAGAATTAAAAACAGGATTCTAGAATTATTGATCAAACATAACTGCTAATTAGTTACTGCCGGGCAGTAGTTGAAACAACAGAAAAAGAAGGACCCGAACATCGTAGTGAAGGCTGGAAAGACGTTGTCGAAACGGTTGAAAACAAACAATCCAAAAACACGATCAATGGTTCGTCGCAGTGCAAGAATGTTTAGCACCGTTATATCAATATTACTRAATACATTGAACAGTCTCTCTTAACAAACAATCCAAAAACACGATCAATGGTTCGCCGCAGTRCAAGAATGTTTAGCACCGTTATATCAATATTACTGAATACATTGAACAGTCTCTCTCAACAAACAATCCAAAAACATGATCTTCTGCGTCATCCAGACGCTTCGACGATCAACATGGTTCGTTGCAGTGCAAAAAGGGTGCAGCATCGTCATATCAACATTACAGAATACATTGAATAATCTCTCAAAAGAGAGTCACGCCCTTGTAAGTTATGGATGATCACTAAGTCTCCTGCAATCACTGATTGTGATTATAGTTAAAGAAAKAATTCCCCCCAGTCTCCTTACCAGAGGTAACATAGGGAGCCCACTAGGCCTAATCATCTAAAGCGAACGAACAAATAAACTGACTTGTTTGGTGCTGATTGAGTGGTGAATGTAGCCGTTAGCCCGATCTATYTTTTATCCCATCAATACACTGTACTATTAGAGTTCGAGGTTCAATAACAGTTTGCTTGTCTAATTAATACTATTTAGAAGTCGTGGGTTCGAATCCCAGCGAGGTCGGAAATTCATTTTTCCGAATTTATTCCTAAGGGACTTCTCCCGGAATTGCCTCCTTCTAAGCACTATAACTTTCTTTCATTCTATATCGTGTTTATCATAGTGCCATGCGGTCTTCATATTCATATCTTTACATTATTCTATTACCGCAACTTTAACATCTATTTCACCCCGACCTGCTCCCAGTCTGGCCTTGTAGCTCAGCTGGTAGAGCATCGGTGTACAATCCGAAGGTCGTGGGTTCGAATCCCAGCGAGGTCGGAAATTAATTTTTCCGAATTTATTCCTAAGGGACTTCTCCCGGAATTGCCTCCTTCTAAGCACTGTAACTTTCTTTCATTTCTATAATTGGTACACTGTTTGTTTCACGGATTGAGTGTGCTCGTATCGTAATCATATAGTAGCCTCATCGTAATTGCATCGTAGTTGTACCGAAAGTGCCAGTATAATAGTGTTGTAGTGACAATGAATGGACAAATAAAGTACATTAAAAATACTGTCATGTTTTTGTTTGTGTCTTTAACAGTATTTTCACTCCTCAGGCAGTGTTTACTTTGATTTAAAGTACTCTCTGAACTACCTTTTCATCTTAACAATACATAAAAACTTCTCCCTATGCATTTTTTATGAATTTTGCATTAACGAATAAAGGTGAGTTGTAAGGTGTGTGGTATTAGCATTAGCTTTACGCTTCCATTTCCTGTATTTCATTTCTAGTATACAAAACACCAATACAACAAAGGCGTTTTTATCGCGYATTCAATCTTACATACTAAAATCTAAAGTGAAATTTCAACCGCAGGGTAAGAAAAAACGTCGTTATTGATATACAAAGAAACGTTACACCCATCAAAACCAAACATGTGTAAAGACAGGAAATCCATAAAAAGACCCAGAACTATCAACAAAATATGATGAAACTTAATCGTTTCGATTGAGAATGATTTATGCAATCATTTTATAAGAGTATTACTGATAACAGATCTCCGATTCTGATATAAATATCAAATCAGTTCCAGGGGRCGTGATAGCCAGCGAGATATCACGTTGATATACTGACCAATGTTCTTAAAAATTACATGTCAAGTTTTATACTGATTCCGTTATTTCGGTATATAAGAATCATTGCTCGACGATAAGGAATTCACACTAGATTTCAACCAAAGATCGGTTGATCATCGAAGAAGGTACTATTCAGGCTTAGCCGCAATWAGTGTAAAAATCAGTGCGACAGGAATCCTCATATCCTCAGTTTAGCAACATTTTACATTTTTTAAATAGAACATCCCCCACCCCCCTYCCTTTACCTCAGTAACTATAGTTTCGATCGCGGTGTAATTACCATTTTCCCCAGTAATGAATTTTACGTTAGAAACTCTACGCTAATATTTTCGTGTCAACTCAAATGGTAAATGACTAACGTTTTGTGCTTCAATTATGTTTTGAGTTCGAATAAACGCTAGCACTCGATCCGATGGACCAACAAGCAAACGTTTTTTTTCTTAATTTCATCTTTTTTACACATTTTGTCCTTGAGGACAATAATAGTTATCATTAAGATTTCATATAACAACCATTCGATTTATGCTCTCGTTGATGGCTCARTTATTGTAGTACCAACAGCCTTGTCAATCAGAAAAACTGACATTTGAAAAATCGATTAAACAAACCGCGCAAAGCAAACAWAGCAAATGGTGCTTAATTGAGCATCGTACATAAAAATGACCTATATTGAAACACCTTTACTTGGAAAGAAAAATGGATTCTGTTAAAGAATTGAAATATAAARACCAGAGGAAAATTTCCAATGTAAATGGTCGAATAAACGAATTACGAACACATACACGTACAAAATAGAGAAATCCACTGACAGAATTGACGGAAAAAGAGGGCACACTTCAATTAACAGAATTAAGAGGCAGGACAGAGAGAATGCTAAAGGACAGGTAGCTTAAGAGAGTTAATGAAAGAAAATATAAAAAGAAGAATGAAAAAAAAAAAAAAAATACAGAGGATCAGTAGGAAACCCAAAGAAAGAAAGACAAAAAACCACTAAACATAACAGAAAACAAATTAAAAATATGGCAATGAAAGAGATTGAATCAAGGGAAACCCAGCTGGTAAGACAAAATAATTAAAAAAATTACTTTAAAAACRAGAATTCAGTGAGAGCGAAAATTGCAAAGTGGTCATAAGAAGAACATAAAAACGAAAAAAACCCAAACACTTGTAATGAAGAACAATTATGAGAGTATGARACATATGTTCAATCGATTGAGGAGAAATCGAGGCCTAAAATGGCAATTTCGTAGAAACGTAAGTAAATACACAAGGTAATATTTGTCACTCTTTTGACATCTTAAAAAAAAATCAATCAAAAACATTTCACTGTCAGTTTAACAAGCAAACAAAAATGTCTTTTTAAAGAAAAATGCAATTACGATTATTGTATATTCAATCTGCTTTCTAAATAAAACATTTATCTAYACTTGACACGGCGAGTACACGAATAATTACCTGTAGAAAATACCGCACAAACAAATAGAAATGACTTCTACGACAAGCCAATGTATTGTTGTATGCTTTCACTACAGGTCTATGCAGCAATATACACATTTTCGTGAAATTTATGCAGGGTTTATGCAATACGCACAGATTTACGCAGGTACAGATTTACGTAAGGAGAGTTAAAGACCACCCCCCAAAAAAATCTCGCGATCAGCATATGATTAAAATGTCTATAAAATAAACATCATTTAATTGCCGTAAAGTAGGATCTGTGTATTCAATAAAACTCCCAATAAGTGGTTATTAGTTTTATGGATAAGTATATTTCAAAATAAAAAGCACTTTTAATCCTGTTACAGAAATAAACCGAAATCAGTCCCGATTAAACACAGACTAGAATACATCAAGACAAATACACCTACTTCCACCTATGATGTCAAATCAATTCCTAATCGCGATCCAAGGTCATCTTTCAAACATGAACGRAAGAACCTGGGATCGAGTTTAGACGCACTAACTACATGATTGTGACCTATCAATCAATTGATTATATTAGCCACTATTAACCATTATTAGTGAAACTCATGCAAATACACATATTAACATGTATTATTTTTAATGTTAACGATGCACAACCCTGCGGCTATAAAATTACCTATGTTCAATAAGCCAACAATAAACACCCAGCAATTAAGAAATTTCACTGCCATCTGGCTCAGGAAAACGTTATTAAAACTGAAGGCATCATGGCTTTTCTCAGTCTCGTGTCGCCTCGAATTGTGTGCAATTATTGGCCAAGATTAATTAAGACTATATTTTGAAGATGTTTGATATTTGTAAAATTCGAACATCTAAAGATTTTTTCAATTTCATAATGCTGGACAGGATTAAATCCAATACGTGAAGTCTTTAACACACAGTCACGCCAAGAAACTTTATTTTAAGGAAAACTAGTTTCGTCCCAGATTAGACCTTTTCAATTCCTTAAGGTGACTGTGTGTTAAAGACTTCACGTATTGGATTTAATCCTGTCCAGCATTATGATATTTTGAAGATATTTTGATCTTTTGTCACTTTCCCCATCAGTTTTACGACTGAATATGATTATTAATCTCTTTAAGCTCTCGTGGATTTATACTGTATCCAATCTACTTTAAATAAATTAAAGTGGAGCTTCAAACCAAAGTCCAATTACCTTCGTTCTGTATCATTACCAATTCATGGTTTGAGTGATATCAACTATTTTAATTAATACTTAAAAAGTCAGTTTTAAAATTCAAATATCATACAACATTGAATACTGCATTCTTGGATCRTTATGTTAGATATTTATTTAAAGCAACTTCTATCATCACGCAGAAGAAGTTTTCGCGCCATGGTTCTGTTTATGTTGTTTCCACAGGMGCCCCATCAAGTCTTGTTGCAGATCCATTTTCAGTCCTCTTTGCCGTTACAGTCTCTAACGGAAAAACCCTGTTGTCACTCACGCAAGGCAGAATACGGTGAAAGAGGCTAACGTATCCGTGGCGGAAGTTTTCGTTACAGAACCAGTAAATTAGCGGGTTAATAACGCTGTTCAGATGAGCGAGAAGCATCCTTAGATAATACACAATACATGGCACCTTGATCTTGTACGAGTACAGTACTAAGCTAATAAAATACATCAACCAACACAAGACAAAAGCAGCCACGACAAGTGACACCATTTTCAGTACTTTCTTTCTGGTGCGCTCCTGTCTACGCAGCCTTTGGTTATCACTCGGTGTGGAATCACCAACAAAACGACGTCGCTTTAACAGTGCCACCATAATAGCGGCATAGAGTATGATAATAGTAACCAAGGGAACAACAAATAAGCCGATAATTTTGAACATATAATACTCTGTAGCGGAACCTTTCMCAAAGCTTTTGTCGAGATCAAGATAACAGTATAAGTTACCACTGCGTCGTAGAGTTTCAATGCCATAGAACTGAGGAAAGGCGGTAAGAAGACCTGTAAACCAGATGGCTACGACRATGAATTTAGCCATTCTAGTCGTGATAAATCGTCGCAAAGGAAATACGACAGCCCAGAAACGATCAAGACTGATAGCAACAACTGTGAAGATAGATACAGCAATGGATGTCTCGTTAAACCATGCAGACCCCTTACAGAAGATGTTACCAAGTAGACCATCAACCTGCCATTCATAACCTGCCAACCATATTGATAAAACTCTAGGCATATAGACCACAGTAGCAATCAAGTCTGCAATGCTCATATTGACGATGAAGAMGTTCACAGTTTTGCGCATGTTTTTGTTTTTAAGTACAATTGCCACCACCATCGAGTTCCCGATAAGAGAAAGAGGGATAATAAGACAGTATGGAAACACGTGAGCTGCTTTTACTGCTGTTGAATCGTGCTCAAAGCACACAGCCTCAACAACGGGATTTTCAGTTGTGTTCGTGGTATTTGCCATGATTTRTGTTAACTGTGCAGCTCGCAGATACAACTGGGAGTTCTTAATAYCTTAACACTATTTAATATAGTGATMTACGCATGCGTAGTAGTAGCTGTCAATTTAATTGCATCCCACACTTCAGTCGTGTCATTTATGCTTTAATTGAACTGTGTTAATATTGGATCGTCGTGCGTCGGAAGTGACAATGCTTTTTTTCATATCAGAGTTTTAGTTAGTTCCGATGACTTTTATCGCATCCCAATCAATGCTCTAACAAGATGCCGTGCATAAACAACATTGATTTTTGTRCATTGGACAATTATCAACTCAATGCTGGATTGCAGGGGATTATGGGTGGACATAAGGCGGTTCCTGATACTTAAAACTGATTGTGAATCTAAAGTATAGATTATTAATTTTAGAACGTTTCTTTTGCATWTTCAAGTCGCCATAGAAAAGACATTTTCAAGAAGAGACCAAGCGTTTATCAACGAAAACAAGCTCTTGAACCAACCACTGAACCAGTACGCAAGATGAAGAATTTTTTCACAAATAACAGCTTTAGTTAATTAATATGTTTATTGATATTGTGGCTATAAATTCATGAGTTAAATCTTCTYTGATTGTGGATTAATTATTTAGTAGTGTAATGGATGCGTTGAATATGCAACGTGTAATGATGGAAGACTTTGTAAAGCTTTTTAAACCATTGTAATCTAAACTTGAAAAAACTGTGGAAATGTCAAAACATAAAAAAGGAAAGGAAAATTAAATGGGCCTTAGGGCCCAAAAAATAACAAAAACTAGCACTGGAAATATTATTAATTTCAATGATAATTTGGAAAGTTTAATTCCACTGTGAAGCTACAGGCCCTGGAGGGGTGTATACCAACTGGCCAGAGTAATAACACTAACGATAAACTAATACATATGCAATAAATCAAGTTAATACTCTTAGAGGCTCTTTGAAAATCGTAAAGTGCGCGCATATTATCGACTTAAACGTTCTTTACTTAATCGTTCATGGAAATCACTAAACTGAAAAGATTTAATTAAAAGACCCAGTTGATCCAGTCTCGCTAAAACTTCAAAACATCAAATAGCCTATAGTTCCTTCTGATTTSTTTTGAATATAACGAATAAAAATTGCTCAATATTACTTTCATAAACCATAATATTCACTAGAATGATGTCATATCGAACCTAAATGGTCCAAAAACCTGCSCTCCAATCACGTGTTTTTTGATACAGCATGACTTATTTMATGCTTTTTGTCAAATTAAGCCAGCTCTTAGACATATAATCAACTCTTTCATACAACTAAAMGCCCTCTTTGTTGCCAGTCCCCTGACAGACTAGCTTACTTACAGCAGCTGAAAAAACTTCAAATAGATACAGCTTTGTACGTACTACTCATACGTAGAAAGACATCAAAAATTGAGGAAACCGTTGTCGTATGATTGTTATCTAACCATGTCGATAACAATGTTTCTTAAAAAACGTTATTCGTTAAAACGATTTTGATARCAAACATTTGAGTGCATGGTTTGAAAATTTCAGATTAATTTGATACACTTTTTACACGTAATCAATTTTAAAGCCCACTAAAAACGGATGGGAATGAACGAATGAATAATGGATGAATGAATAAAAGAATGAATGGATGGATAGATGGATTACAACAATCGSTTTTTCAAGAAAATGATGTTAAAGTAGTGAAAACTAGAAAAAACTAGATGTGTTCAATTAATGTAATCTACGTCCTTGTTTTTGATACAGCGATAAAATAATACACTGAAAAAGAGATGTAAAAACCTTAGTGACGTTAAGCCATTTTTTCTTCAACAGACCACGTTTTTAACAACAGGAAGTTGTACAAGAATGAATATTTTCATGACAATTGATTAGTAATCCAGAAAAGACAAAATTGTAAAAGTAAAAATTTAAGTACAAAAGCAAACGAAAATCTCAGATTTTAAACCTAAAAATATAACCTGTCGAAATGCACTTCCTGTGCAATATGTGTATGTAACARTATAAAAACAGTTTCAAAGTAACATTATATTTGATTTTGTTGTGTAAATACACTTAGAGTATGCCGTAACAGCGGAAATGGAAGCTCAAAGGACGACACGCGACAAGTTATGAACRCATCTCTTGAAGTYTGCCGACTGACTGGTCATTTTACTCAAAACTTCCTGGTTTTCTAGCGTCAAGATTTCATAGAAATTTGTATAAATCGACGACATAGATAGCGTGCCAGTGTTTAAACACAACGACACRTACAACCTTACAATGTTGATMTAATCACCTTAGTACCCCGCCCAACGCCCTCACATCCAGGCCTTRATTGGCATATCTTTTAACAATGGAAATTGAATGTCCTAGAAATGTATCTTAAATTAAACTTCAATTCACTCTATGGATACGTTTAGATAGTCTGTTGCGTGACGCGTGACCGAAACTAAACACGGCTGCGAGGAGACTAACGTTTAGACTTCCTGTTCAGATAAATACGATTCCCAGTCCCTCCCTTTATAATAACCACAGGGACACCAATTTTATGTCTTGCGTACCTGATTTAAGGCGTCTTCTTTACAAACTTCGCAATGAAAAACCCAATAGTGTCGACATCACAAGGATTTCTGTCACTGCTGCAAGCAGTGGGATCAAATCTCTGAACTAGTTTCCTTTCCTCCTCGGATAGACCACAGTGAGGAAGACCTGGGCTTCCAAGGTATGGTCTCTGAAGAATGAAAATAATTAATAGGCTACTGTCAGATAGTGTGTTAATAATGCCATCACATAAGATATAAAGGAACATGACACTACTTTGTGCTCCAGTCTTCTCACACCCATTTTCAACAGGGAATCCAATCCCCTGGAAGTTTATCAAGATCAACAAGGTTACTAACATAGAAATTGTTGTAAGAAACCAGAGTCCTTCCTTATAATGCAAAGATACTGACAATGACAATGCTGAAATATTGCTGTCCACAACCCTGATGATGATGATGATGATGATGATGATGATGATGATGATGATGATGATGATGATGTTCCTGATCAAGTAGATTGACACTGAATAGATGTCAGGTCCTCTCAACCTACCTGTTCACACAGATGTATGCTGGGAAATGTTTTTAGAGCCCAGGCTACTAGCATCTCATTTTCTTCTACTGTAATAGTACATGTTGAAAACACTAGGGTGCCTCCTTCTTTTAACAGACCAACAGCCTGAAAGAAGACATTTTGTTATTTAATTATGTACAATTTAATTTATAATTTTTTAATCTCATGTAGACATGTATAATGAATGTATCTGAGGGCCCTTATGAGTCTTATGAAAATCACCTTTGGTGGTAAAACTTCCTCATCTATCAATATCTTATTATTAYACTATCATACTCATATTAGAGTAGAGTGATCGCACTTAATCTGTGCAACTGTACAAAATCTAATTAGTACTAATAAATCTAAGTAGTACTAATTTGTACTAAAAGTGGACCTGAAGCAAGACGGTATTGAATGCTTCATTTGTATCCGGGTCCTCCGGTTTTCCTCCCTCAGCAAAAATCAACATGTGAGGAGTGTTGTGTTCTAAAATACTTAATGTAGAGGTATTGAGTGTGAGATTACAGGGCCCGCAGTAATTGGCTCACGCTGTTGCGGTGTCCCTGCCCATACTAGGGGCAAAGCTAATAAAATAAAAATAAAATAATAAAATTACGTATCKCATGCACAATTTACTAAATACACCTAAACATCACTATTTAGTTTGTGCAGTTGCACGGATTAAGTGCGGTCACTCTACAAACATTAAATGTGTGCAACACTTTCCACTATTTACTACAAAATAGTGTTTTATTAAAATAAAACAATAGAAAACAATTAGAATTAGCGTAATTTAGCAGTATTTAATGGTATTTATGTGGCACAGTTTTAGTGTTTGTACTAGTGCTTGGTGTGATTGTCAATCTATTGAAAGCAGGAACCAAATCCTGTGAAACTCTTCAGAAATTAAATTAGAGTATCTAATGCCAGTGTATGTCTGAAAATCTACATGAGTGTCTGTCTGTATATGGATGGATTTCTGTCAATAAGTACATCTGTCAGTCTGTTGGAATGTGTCTGCTTTAGTGACGTCAACGTAAAAAGAGTTGTGTTTATTTAATTTAATTTACTTACAGCTGTGAATATCTTCTTCTGGAGGRCAGCATATGACCTAAGACTCTTGATTGACATCTGAATAACTGATTGAGGCCGCTGACCCAAAGCACTGCAAGGCCCATCCAGCAATATACAATCAAAAGACAGTGGAGGGTATGGTGGGGGAATAACATCACATCCATCAGCAATAGGAATGGTTYGATTATTGTYCAATGATTTGGAAGCATCAAATACAAAGGGATAGACATTAGTGACTCCCAGACATTTGCAGTTTTCTTGAATCTTTTGAACCTTGGGTAAACTTTTATCAAAAGCAATAATAATGCCCTGAAACAAMAGAAGAACACTTTAAAGAATCATAACCAMCCGCCGTACCTTGCGAGCCGAAGCGCCATTTTAGGACGACACAAAATGGCGGATTCGTAGGATTTCTTAAATTGAGCKCGAATCGTCTTCCGTCCTTTCAGTTTGGACAGAAATACATTTAACTAAGTAACTCACAGGTACTATCAATCTATAATTTATTGTATCCTTGACTCATTTAAACGTATGTAAACAATAATACGAGCGCGCAAGGTACGGCGTTTGGTTATGATTCTTTAAAGCATGATCGTTCACATGTGTCTTTTTTTTTTTCAGTAACTGTTACAGTTACAAGGATCTTGCACATTTCTCATTATAAACATAATTATTTTTTGTAAAAAGTTTTTCATACCTTATTTTCCATGACAGATGACAGATGTGTTGTTTTTCCACCTGAGA